TTCCGTAAAATTTGCAGAGATATATGCAGGGAAATAAGCAAAAATAACAATGATAGTTAATGAAGTAAATAAATTAAAATAAAGCAATTTTTTTAACCCCCCCACATGTCAATAGGAGGAAGGCGTCACCGTCCATGCCACAACGCATTATCAAGAAACACGCACACAGAAATACACACGCCCAGAAACTCACACGCACATTCACTCTTACACATACAAGCACCCGTGCGCTCAAAATATCACATGAACACATCACTGATAGTGATAACTGACACCTACCCAATTAACTGTCTATAGAAATACAAATTAAATCTAAAACCATTTATAAAACAGAAACCATAAAAAGCAACACTCCCTAACAATTATATCTTTTAATTTCCGTCTCCCTAACAGTACTCCATTCAGGCCATCGATTGGAAAAAACAACATTCGTGTAATAGTAAATTTAGTTTTAAAAATTCTTTTAATGCATCCACATGGCTCAATTCAAATCTTCACAATTTACTGTTGCTTTGTACATACTTTTTTCTTGATTTGTTTTATTCGCATAGATTAAATTGATAATGATGATGATAATGATAATTATTATTATTATGATTAAAATAATTATGAACATTATTAAGGTTAATAGTACTACTAATATAAAAAAAGATCTGCAAACTTGTCCAGCTTCTTGTTTGCGATTAGTCTTCTTGTATTTAGTTCATGATTATAATATATTTCATTCCTTAACTGCATGTTCCTGAAAATAAAATGTGTATTCCCGAATAGATGAAGCACAGACCGATACAATAGTTTAAAATCGAAATGAAATAACATTTCTTCACCTAGATTTTTGAGAACCGTTCAAATTGCGCCAAATATGTATCGTTTCCTAAACTTAGAACAGTAAAACAAAATTTAAAAAAAAGAGGAAGAGAGAAGATTGATTCTATTAATAACATTTTTGAAGGAGACGTTTGAGTTTTGATAATTTGGCAAAGGACATTTTGTGACGCCTTAACCATCGAGTTTTGTTTGTGCTTTGGATCGTATGTTTACCTTTCATATTTAGCCATTGTACAAGCTTCGATTGAAACTATGTTTGAATAGCAAATATGAAAAAATGAATTGTGTGTAATGTACTAAACAAATATGCTTTCATTCAATACCTTTTCTGGCCCGAAGCAGAGTAAATAATGCTTTGTGTTTTCTCTATTGTATTCCCGAGGAGACTCTCAATGCCATCAATCCAATTTTCTGAACCCCCCTGACGCCAACTATAAACGCGTTCCTCCAGACAACTTGACAATTGAGATTCAAAGGTCTATTTGGTCAATTTTCTTTTTTTTGCAGTTCAGTTTCTATAGTTCGCAAGACACTTGTAAAAAAAAGTTACTTTCTGTAATACTTTCTTCCAGCTACGGCTGATTGTTTCAGACATTTTGGGAGAGGGAATGAAGAGGGTGGGGTTGTGTAGCCGACCCGCCCAGCTGCTGTCTTCTACCACTATAATTTGTCAAAAGGCCTTTAAATAGATACGTCTTTTTTCCACTCTGTCGGAGTCAGATTTTGAGGTGTTTATTTTCCGCAAAGGCTGGATATTTATTAGAAAATATATTGCATCAGTTTTAGTTTCAACCATAAAAGTTGTATTACATATATTATACATCAATACAAAGCCAAAGCTTCATTCAACCTAGTCAAAAATGAATATCAGTGTAATTATATTTGCTATTAGAAATCAATAAAATCATTATTCGGAAGAATACAGTAATATTTACTGTATGGTAATCTGTGACGAGGAGCACTCTAAATACATTTACTTAATAAACTACCATTTTTCAAATTCTTTAGAGCAAAACATGAATACGACATTAAACATGCATGAAGTAATTATTTCATATGTTTTTCGTCAAATCACCATAAAATCAGATAATATGCACAATATTTGACAGGATCTGCAAAAATAGATAATCTACTCATTGTAGCCGTCATATGCAGCTCCCTCATAAGGAATACTATTAATATAACAAACCAGATAAAATTCGAAATATCCTATGAATATATTATTATTATTTTACATCAAAAGCGCTATGGTACATATCAGTATAGCCCAGTATAAATGACCATTATTATTATTATGATTATTGCAGTTATTATCATTATTATTATTATTATTATTATTATTATTATTATTATTATTATTATTATTATTATTATTATCATTACTATTACATTGAAATATATAAGAGATATTATAATATAAGAACTGTTTATGCAATGAAAGATTTGTCATTGACCCCAGCTCGCACTTGGTCCTCGCACCCACAACCGCTATGGTGGCAGGGCCTTCTCAGTCTGTGTCCCCATTCTTTGGAACACTCTCCCCGTACATATTCAGGACTCAGCCACCACTGACATTCTTCAACAAAAATCTTAAAATTCATCTATTCCAAAAACAACCCCTGCCAATAAATATAAAAATAAGTGTGAATTTGTATTACAATGCCTTCATTATGTCTTTTGTAAATCGTTGATATTATTAATATGATATGTTAACTTTCCCAGAAATGTACATGTTATGTAAATTGCTTTTTCTTGAAGTAATTTTGATTTGTGTACAGCTCTTTGAATGTTTTACGTCACAAGCGCTATATAAATTGTTCGTATTATTATATTATTTTGTATTATTGTATCTAGCCGACAAACTTTTCGTAGCCGATGGAACACTGGGTCAGATCTTCTTGGCGGAGACTGACGGGGACTCCTTCCTTGCATCACCGCTTACTCCCCTGAATCTGACCATCAACGAATCACCGATAGGTCTTGATTACGACTATCGCTCCGACACTATATACTGGAGTGACCAAGACACGCACACCATCCAACGGTCTACTCTCAACTATGGTGGCCCTGAAGGGACATCGCGAATAGACTAAATCGTGAAAAATATGCGATAAAATTCACGATATCGTCAATTTTATCGCATATTTTTCACGAAGAAATTCACGAAATTGACGATATCGTGAACTTTATCGTGAACTTTTCACGATGAAATTGACGATATCGTGAATTTTATCGTGAAAAGTTCACGATATAAAGTTCACGATATCGTCAATTTTATCGTGTACTCTATCGTGTACTCTATCGTGTACTCTCCTGACGGGCGCTTCGTAAACAAAACCAGCCCTAGCTGGGGGAGACAGAGAGAAGGAAAAAAGGGAAAGGGAAAGAGAAGATAAAAGGAAAGAAAGAATAATAAGAAGAAAAGAGGGAAACGGGGGGGGGCGAAGGGCTCTTGCCTCCTCCTCACCCCCCCCCCCCCTCCCCGCCAAAAAATAAATCAGAGAGAGAGAGAGAAGGGAAAGGGAAAGGGAAAGAGAAGATAAAAGGAAAGAAAGAAGAGGAAGAAGAAGAAAAGAGGAAAACGGGGGAAGGGCGAAGGACTCTTGCCCCCCCCTCCCCCCGCCAAAAAATAAATCAGAGAGAGAGAGAGAAGGGAAAGGGAAAGGGAAAGAGAAGATAAAAGGAAAGAAAGAAGAGGAAGAAGAAGAAAAGAGGGAAACGGGGGCAAAGGGCTTTTGCCTCGTCCCCCCGCCCCCCGCCAAAAAAATAAATAAGAGAGAGAGAGAAAAGGAAAGGGAAAGAGAAGAAAGAAAGAGAAAAACGAAAAAGAGGGAGAATAGGAAAGAAAGGAAAAGAAAGAAAAGAAAGGAGGCAAGAGCCCTTCGCCCCTATTTCCCTCTTTTCTTATTCTTTTTCCTCTTCTTTCTTTCCTTTTATATTTTCTTTCCCTCTCCCTTCTCTTTCCCTTTATGGCGGGAGGGGGGAGGGGGAGGTAAGAGCCTTTCGCCCTTCCCCCGTTTCCCTCTTTCCGTCTTCTTCTTCTTTCTTTCCTTTTATATTTTCTTTCCCTTTCCCTTTCCCTTCTCTCTATCTCTCTCTCTCTCTCCTATTTATTTGTTGGCGCGGGAGGGGGGAGGAGGCAAGAGCTCCTCTTTTCTTCTTATTCTTCTTCCTTTCCTTTTTTATTCTCTTTCCCTTTCCCTTCTCTCTCTCTCTCTCTCTTATTTATTTTTTGGGCGGGGGGATGCAAGAGCCCTTCGCCCCCGTTTCCCTCTTTTCTTCTTCTTCTTCCTCTTCTTTCTTTCCTTTTATCTTCTCTTTCCCTTTCCCTTTCCCTTCTCTCTCTATCTCTTATTTATTTTTTTGGCGGGGGTGGGGAGGGAGGAGGCAAGAGCCCTTCGCCCTTCCCCCGTTTCCCTCTTTCCTTCTTATTCCTCTTCTTTCTTTCCTTTTATATTGTCTTTCCCTTTCCCTTCTCTCTCTTATTTATTTTTGGCGGGGGGGGGGGGGAGGAGGCAAGAGCCCTTCGCCCTTCCCCTGTTTCCCTCTTATTCCTCTTCTTTCTTTCCCTTTCCCTTCTCTCTCTCTCTCTCTCTTATTTATTTTTTTGGCGGGGGGGGGGGGGGGAGGTAAGAGCCTTTCGCCCTTCCCCCGTTTCCCTCTTTCCTTCTTCCTCTTCTTTCTTTCCTTTTATATTTTCTTTCCCTTTCCCTTTCCCTTCTCTCTCTCCTTACTTATTTTTTGGCGGGGGGGGGGGGGGAGTGAGGAGGAGGCAAGAGCCCTTCGCCCCCCCCCCGTTTCCCTCTTTTCTTCTTATTATTCTTTCTTTCCTTTTATCTTCTCTTTCCCTTTCCCTTTTTTCCTTCTCTCTGTCTATCCCAGCTAGGGCTGGTTTTGTTTACGAAGCGCCCGTCAGGAGAGTACACGATAGAGTACACGATAGAGTACACGATAAAATTGACGATATCGTGAACTTTATATCGTGAACTTTTCACGATAAAATTCACGATATCGTCAATTTCATCGTGAAAAGTTCACGATAAAGTTCACGATATCGTCAATTTCGTGAATTTCTTCGTGAAAAATATGCGATAAAATTGACGATATCGTGAATTTTATCGCATATTTTTCACGATTTAGTCTATTCGCGATGTCCCTTCAGGGCCACCATACTCAACGGATCATTTCATGAAGTTATTGCGAACGGTACAATCGGTAATAATACCCTTCGTTGATGTTGTTTATTTAAATCTAAGAAAAGTTGTGCCGATGGTAACTGAAGTACGAAATCACCGTAGTCAAAACATGAATTTATCAACTAATTTGAAAATAATTGGATTTTAAACATTTATTTAAAGGTAACCAAGTACATACATTTACTGCCGTAGATGTGTGTTGTGTTTGTGTGTGTGTGTGTGTGTGTGCGTGTGTACGTGCATTTTGGGATAATGCATGGCATCCATGCTAAACCCCTTGCAAAAATAATAACGAAAGCGGTTGATACAGGTGCATGCGACGCGGATTTGTTTAAAGCTCAAAAAACTGAAAGAATGTCCAAAATCATAGTTTTTCACTTTTTGATCTGGTTGCTAACATTTGAATTGGTTTTATATTTGTTGTTTGATTATAAATATGAAGTTTATTCAAATACAAAATGGTAACAGCCATGTTCCACCACCCACCACTAAGTTTATGTAAAGACGAGCAGATACTGATAGCTGATGGAACTAGATAACAAACTTGTATAACTTGATTATTTTGGTTATTCTGCATGTTTTATATTTTGTATTGATTAATTGCATTTCTTTACATTTTTTTTATTGGGGGGGGGGGGCGGGGTGGTCAGTTCTTGAACATCCTGTTTTCATATAAAACGTCCCTTTTTGTTACTTGAAATGACTCAAATTGTAATTATAATCAAACGGACAGCTACAGTTCTTAAATGCTTACCATTTGTTTAATGTTCTTGAAAATCGTATTTTTCTCTGAAATTCCAATATTTCTTCATTTGTTTTTATTGTAACTGCCCGGCGCTCACGTTTATCGCCTACTTTATGTCAACTAGACACATCATCATACCCGAGGTTCCTGAAAAACAGAAAGTCGTCATTTGAAATTATGTAGACCCCCATTTAACTTTTTTTTAATCAGTTTCAGGTTTTTGTCGTTTTGTTGTTGTTGTTTTTAAACATGTATTGACATAATTTCACTGTGTTTATCTTAAATTAGCCAAAATAAGCATTTTTTTTTAAATTGATATGTTCTTGATCGGTTAACATTGTAATATAGTTAATTTGTATTACCCCATATTCTGAGTAAAAATGTTTTGTTATGTTTAATTGCGCCATACGATGATATGTTTGTAATATCCAACATTAAAATGTACATTAAACAGGGTTGAAACATACATACATATATATATATATATATATATATATATATATATATATATATATATATATATATATATATATATATTTGAATAAGGCAGACTTATGGAACATAATAGCCCCTTCACCCATGAGTAAATCTTATTGTTTTGTATTGTATTAGTTTAGTCTTATTTTGAACGTATTTGCACTCAGGTTGTAGAGTAACCATGTACTTTTAAGAATGCTATCAGTTGCCTGATGATCGCTCGCAAGGCGTGAAACTCGGAGTTGCGACCATGTTCCATTAGTCTGCCTTGTTCAATATATAGTTTGCTCTGCCTATAGGCATTGAGCACTGTACGGAGGAATAGACCAAATCTAAGTATATATCAATTAACAGATAATACGTATTAATGAAAATGCGCGTGGCATCCACCTGTATCTTATTCCTCCGTATTTGTGCAAGAGTTTTCGCATGGATGCCATGCATACCCCCCAAAATACCATGAAAACGTTTTCGAGACGCATTTCATGTTGTTTTGCTGGTCTACTATATGGTGCGTATACAAAAGTGCACACAAATTAGTCGCTCCTATTTAAGTTATAATCAATATGACTCATAAATATATTACATGATGAAGAGTACTCGTTTTTTAATCTAATTTTAACCGATTCGCAATATTTCTGCCACGGGTGACTAAGCATCAGGGTCATTAATACGTGTTATAAAATCGCTTTGTACCCGGTTTGGTTTGATGGAACGAATGTGGGTCAGGCTACATGCACGTACTTCTTTAATCTGATATCCTTTTAAAATTTAAATTATGTGCTTCAGTGCTTCATTGTTTAAATTTATACTATGTATTTGGGCTTTCACAGAACCATGTTTCAATCCATTGGAGCCTACTAACTCTTGCCTCATGACGTTCTTTCAGCTCGCTTGTCAACTGCGCTATTTCACACGCGGAAGGAGCAAATTGTGTTCACATCGAATAACGAATGAAAACTAAAATGTGACTAAACCCAAATGCAAGAAAGAAATTATCAAGAAATTAAAAATTAACATCCCATATAAACTTTATCCATTTTGAATGAATCAATAAGACGGGTTACTTTTAATAAACAAAGGATGCGAATGTAGTCAATATTTTTATCATCATAATAGGAAGAGAATATCACACAGTTTGTTTGTAATGAGCATTTTTCGGAGTTTGAGTTGATATTAACACTTTTTCTTTTCAATAGCAAATGTGAATAAGTGAGCAATTGTTTTTGGAATACGACACAATACACATAATGGATTTTGAACACATTTATTGCCTAGCCCAAACTTGGTACAAGAGGATTTCGACTATACCTTTTGGAAATCCTGCTGCTCAGTTATCCGTAGCAGCACACTTATGAATATGGCATCATTAGATCTTGTATTAGTTATCATTTGCCTTGATATATGATTCAAGGTCACATAGATTATAACTGTTTAATTAGAAGCTAACAAGGTTGGGTATACTTTTCTTAAATATACGCACTTGATAGGCCCGAATTCACAGAGGAGTATTATTTCCATCCATGGTTTAACCACCGTACATAATGTATGCGTATGTCTTCACGTCTAATAGCCAATTGTGTATATTTATGTCCATATTCATGGCCCCGTGAAACAAAATTTTGAACAATCGCAGAATAGCAAAGGCAAATCAAAATCATCGTTGCATACACGCATTGTTTAAAAGACTGACTATCAACCAATCAGAAGCGTATTTTCAAATTTGTAATTGATTGCAAACCTTTGTGTTAATGTTACGGGGGCCCTGATCTGTTATTTTGGCCTACAGTTCCACATGGTATCGTGCTAGATCTGGAAGAAGACAAGGTGTTCTGGTTGTCAGCCGGTTCTGGGAACCTCTACCGGGCCAATCTTGACGGATCTAATCATGAGATCCTAGATCCTGTATTCATGGTCCCACGTGGTATCACAATCTCCTACAAAAGAAGGTATACCCAGACAGTGAATGTACATCTTGTGAATCCGGACAGTTGATTAAATCAGCAATTTGAAGAAGTTTAAAAGCAATATTTTGTAAGTTTTCTAACACTAATGCTGGAAATTATTATAAAGGATAAATATTCATCATGATTATTGCCATGTGATTGATATTTTTCGGTCGATCCAAAAGCAAAGCCGGACACCCAACCCCATCAATTGTACTTAATGAAAACTGAAGGGTGTAAACAAATATATGACACCTTTATTATTCCTGGCTCATTTTTCCTTATTGAGGTGTCATTATGCAAGGGCAGAACATTTTCTAGAAATGTGATTTTCTCTTTAAAATTCAGATACCGTTCGCCAAATGACGTATAAGTACCCTTTCTTTAAATTTTATTTAATCACTCATACTTGAAAAACGCATCATATGAGCTGCATCAAATTGAAAAAGAAGATCTAAGGTTTACAAATATGTGTCATTTATTAATCATAATTGTGATTAAGTCATGATAAAACATCGATAATTCTCGGTTTCGTTTCTTTCTCGGACGCACTGTATAGCGTATCCGGACACCTACCCCTGGACATCCACACCCGGATAACCAACCCCGGTCAACTACCCCCTAAGATAACTACTCCCTAGGGCAACCACCTCCTAGGACGACTACCCCCAGACCATTTCCCCCAGACAACTACCCCCAAGGATAGTTGTCCGGGGGTAGTTGTCCTTAAGGATGGTTGACGTAGGGTGGAGTTGTCTTGGGGTAGTTTTCCGGGGGTACTTGTTCTAAGGTGAAGTTGTCCTAGGGGGCAGTTGTCTGGGGGAAGTTTCCCCGAGGGTAGTCTTCCTAGAGAGTGGTTTCCTTAGGGGTAGTTGTCCTAGGGGGTAGTTGAATGTGGGTGGTTATCCGGGGGTGGATGTCCAGGGGGTAGGTGTCCTACAACCACTGTATATTACTGGATACATTAATAATGCCTAGGTCACATTTTCTCTACGCTTAGGATACGGTGGCCGTAGGCCCTCGAAATCGAGAGATACCTGCAGCGGCCGCAGATGATCTGCGGTGGCCTCATGGTCACCCTAGGGCGTACGGATCGCCCTGAGTTAAACCTTTTTTTCATTTCTAGCTTCGCCGTAGTAATTAGACAATTCGGCACACCGTGTCGTACGGTGGCCTTGCGGCTATCTTGCGTCTGCCTTGGTATTTGTCAAAAAAATTACGGCCGCCGCATGGACACCCTAATGCGACCGTTCGTCATCACTTCAAACGCCGTACGGCAGCCGCAGGTTCTCTGTCTCCACAAATTCTCAATACGCCATGCGGCCATCCTAACACATGTGACTGCTACAGTATGTGACAGTGTGAATGCTGCGGCGGCCCTATAATTTTGAATTGGCCGTATATATTTCAGACCTCACGGCCGCGGCGGCAAATGTGACCTAAGCATTAGTAAAACTGTGATTGAGTACTGGACATGTAATTACATATACACTGTGAAAGGAACTGTGTGAAAGCAATCGGGAAAGATCGATAATGAAGTACATAAGACTGGATGTACACTAGTAATTATGCCTGGGAATGAGTATGTAGGACTACACATACACATCTGACGTAAATTTTTCCCAAATATTTCAGATATTTCTCCACAGAAAAATTGAGCAAGCAATACTTTTATTCATGGGACATTGATGCTATGATTTTCTTGCTAACTGACATAATATGAAATAATAATACCCACAATACCCAATACCTGTTAATAGCATGCTACTAGGAACGTTGGTTACTAAAACAAATAAACATACGATTCTATCAGTCTATCCTCTATCGCTATCATATTTAGTTTTGACTCGACGTATGCTTCTCAGACAGGGCTGTATTTATTATTACAGGTAGAGATTGAATTAATGATGCACCTGGGATTATTCGTAAATGTAGGTTTAGATATATTTTCAATCCAGGGCTAAATTTCGGTTAAAGGAATTCAGTAAAAGTGGGATACTGACGACTGAGCATCTGTCGTAAATGTAATCAATTTGTAATTGAGGTGTCATGGTATAGTGGTTCATTCGCCTGACTCTTAATTCAAGGTTCGAATCTTAGCCATGCACTGGCTAGACATTAATCCCCTTTTGCCACACTCCACCCAAATGTAAAAGGACCTGGCAATCACTGGGGTAAAAAATAAATGCAGGGCCCTCAAGAATAATAGGATTTAAGCTGATGAGGCATTTCTGGGTAAATAAATTATCATTATTAGTTTTATCATTTACATCAATCTCTATCTACATTAATTTTACTAGAAAGCTCTATATTACAACGCGTCTGTCTTCACCTGCTATCAGAAGTGTGAACACTGATGGGACTAATGACGTTGTTCTCATCGACACAAATATCGCTTCGCCAAGTGGCATAGCCTTCAATTTCCAAGGTAAATGTTTTGCTTTTATTTTCAAAATTAGTACGCTACTCTGGTACCAAGACAGTTGGCCTGAATACATAATTTGTGAAACACAAATTAAGCTTGTATGCTTGTATCTTTACTATTTTTAGTTCTTCTTTTGGGGTGTGAACGTGTCATCACGAAAATGCAGAGAGCACCCTATAAACGGATATCAAAACCTGTTAATAGCTTTAAGTGTACTTTGATAGTTTCACTGTTAATGTCACAGTAATATTTATCCACCTGTATTTTACTTTTCAGAATCGCCTGGCCAGATTCTGTTTTTATAACCTTCATGTGTGTGTGTGTGAGTGCGTGTGTGAGTATGAGTCGTGATCGCATTACGGATTATGATACCCCCCCCCCCCCCAGGTCGGAATTCCAGTTGATACCAGTTGAAACAGTAAGGATTTCCAACTGGTATATACTGGTTTGAACTGGGCTCAACTGGTCTCAACTGGTACCAGTTAAAATCAGTTGATACAATTTGGAGACCAGTAGAAATACCAGTTTGAAGTCGTACAAATAGAATACCAGTTGTTAAAGGAACCAGTAGATTACTGGTGTCAACTGGTACCAGTTGGAAACCAGTAGAAAATACAAGTTTGAACTGGGACCAGTAGAATAACAGAGATGGGACCACTTGAAAAAAAAGTTTACATCTGAGACCTGTTGATGTTACCAGTTGATTTACCAGTTGAAAACCGGTAGACGAGTACCAGTTGATTTACCAGTTGCAAATCAGTAGATAAATACCAGTTGATTTACTTGTTGAAAACCAGTAAATGATTACCAGTTGAAAACCAGTAGATTAATACCACTTGGTTTTAATACCAGTTGAAACCCAGTAGATGATTACCAGTTGAAAACCAGTAGAATACCAGTTTGATTTACCAGTTAAAAAACCAGTAAATGAATACCATTGGATTTACCAGTTGAAAACCAGTAAATGATTACCAGTTGAAAACCAGTTGATGAATACCAGTTGATTTCCCAGTTGAAAAACGAGTAAATGTATCATGATCTGTCAAACAAATATGACAATGCACATCAATTTTGGGATATATATTTTTTTTAAATAAATTATTGTCAAATATATTAATATGTCTGATTATTTTTTACGTCTAATTTAAGACGCAAAAATAGATATGATATAATAATAACTAACCAGGAAACAACGTGTATACTTTTGTATATATGAGAACGAGCTCTAAATGTATTATTTAAGATAATACACATCTGTAATCCACTTTAAATGGCCGTTGTGATGGGGTAATTGCAAGAGTTTGTATATATGGTCAATTTGGTGGCCTGATGCTAATAATGATTATTCATTGATTATCATTCGATTACTGGATCATCAACTGGTATTCAACTGGTAAATCAACTGGTAAATCTACTGGAAATATCAACTAGTAAATCAACTGGATTTTCAACTGGTACATCAACTGTTTTTTCAACTGGTCCCAGTTAGCGTTTTTTCAATTTCCACATTAAAAACCAGTTGAATGTACTGGTTTCAACTGGTACCAGTTGACTACTGGTTTTAGCTGGTACCAGTTGACCAGTTGCCTACTGGTTTCTGAACTGGAATTCCGACCTGGATACGAGTTCATCACTTCCAGAAATTCAGCCAAAACAAAAGTGTTTGCTTCTATCAGATTGTTGATGAGAGAGCAGTTATACTCGTTAATGTTTTACAATTTCCTGCCACAGAGTGTTTTTTTTTCGTTTGATACGTTGCAACTTAGCATTGGGAAAAGTCGGTCGTATTTACTCTTATATGGCCCTACATAATGACTTTCGCGTGAAATGAGGGAAATGAAAATAAGAGCTTTTGCCTGTTTCTATGTCATTCTAAGGTAATGGCGTATGCTAGCGTAATTTATTTTTGTACCCTCATTCACAGAGCAACGTCTGTATTGGGCAGACGACTCCTTAGACAAAATAGAGTCTATGGATCCTGATAACAGCACCGATCGGATAATTCTGCCCTCCGTCATAGCAGGTTCAACGCTTGATTTATTCCCTTTTGGCCTTGCTCTCCATGGTGATGACGTCTACTTTAGTGATATCAACAGCCAAAAAGTCATATTGGTTGATTCTCCTTCAGGGGAGGTTAAAACGTTGCCCTCTTCATTTAGTCTGCCGACTGAAGTTCACATTTATATGGGTACGTTTATTATTATTACTATTTTCTAAAGTTTCATTTCGGAAAAATAGTCTCAATATATGTCCACTTCCGGAACGGCTCTTCACGAAGCCCCTTTTGTAATCGAATGTCTTATTTTTAAAGAGAACATTGTTAGCTTTTAATTGATATGTGACTCCATGGAATTGCACGCGAGAATTGTACCTTTCTGACTATATATGATAAACCTTAATCCAGCTCTAACTGTCAATGTAACCGATGTGTAGTGCATTGTCACAGTTATGAAAACCAAAGATAAGAACTCTTAAAATGCACAAAATAAGAAGCACTGCATAAATCAAAGATACTCACTATGGAATCTGAGGAAACGCATGATATCATTATTTAATGAAATCATAACAATAGACAACAGCAATTGGACCGTGACGCAGTATTTTTGAGAAAAAAAAATTTGGCACCTGAAACCGATATGTGTTATATCCCTGTTGGACAGGACTTATTTAGAGTGCAGCATTTATTTAAAGCATGATTATTAAAGTCGTCCTCCCCCACCCCCATGGCTGTTATTGATGGCATTTGTCGTAGTTTTATTCGGAACCTTACCCTTGTTTTAGTTTCTCTATCTTTTGAATATTACATATTTTTATGAAATATTTTATGATCATGAGATTTTATTACGTGTTATATAACTCTCATTTATTATGTTTTATTTTGTTTTTTCTTCTTTTTTTACCTTTTTTTTTCACCTTAAATTCTTAATAACTTTCTAAAACAGATGTATGCGCAAATAGATGTCTTAATAACGGTAGCTGTGTAAGAAGCTTGACATCTGTAAAATGTTCCTGCCCTTTCGGATTTCTTGGGTCAAGATGTGAAATCGGTAAGTATAATAAAAGCAGCACAATCATTTTTTCATTCGCTTGAACTGTAACAGATTTGTAAATAATTGAATAGCCGACGCGTTTGTCTTTAAAAGACGTGCTACTCTGTCAACATGATTTTATAATAAGAAGATTATAATAACATGATCGTAAAGATATTCGGAAAATCATTTTATAAATTTCAATAGCCTTGTCCAAAGGACTCATAAATATATGTGTTATGTTATCAATAACTGAATACACTCTCTAAAATATGTATAAGAGTTTTCCTTTCCTTTTCTCATATGGGTTACAACTGAATTCAACTAAATTCTCTATTTCATACAAATACAATATACTTTTGTTTGTATCTAAATATTCTATCATGTCAATATCTCATAACCAATTAATCTCCAAAGACTAAATCTAGTTTAAATGACCATACTAAAGAAACATGTAGAACTAACCAAAAAATGAGAAATATAGTCATTTCTTTCATTTCTATCACCAAATCTTCAAACTATAAATTCCACTTGCCCTCCTGCGGCGTTCTAACAAATCATTTTAAGCCTTGCCCATCGCATTTTTTAATGAAACAATACAATTCATCATAATATATTTAATATTTCTTTAAGGATCAATATGCGAACACATTTTAAGTGTACCAAAGTCTAAATTGCTCTAATTGCATGAACTTGTCTTCTCTTTAATGTTTTATAACCCAAATAGATATTTAATAATATCACTGGAACTTTCCCTTTGAAATAACGCGCCACGTCTTCAATTCGTAAAACGCCGCCTACGTTCAAACTAAATACTATTTACACGTATGCAATATCCTCAAACACCTGTACTATACTAATTAAAAATGTAAATTTCAATACCAGCTTATTGTTTTGCTTGAGCTCTGAAAATTATACATTACTCATACTTCTTTCACACATAAATGAAATTATTAAATGTTCAATGTCAACTAAATAAAACTCACTTCCTAGGCGACAATCTGGCGTCACAAGTAAATAATTTGTCTCTCGACAACTACTGACTTCTTGTTCTGTATTATGTCAAGTTTATTATTCTTCTTCGTTTGGTATTATAATGGCTATTAGTCAAATTTGACTATTGTTGCCAATTTCATCGCATCTCTTTCTTTTAATGTCTCATTTTCATATAATATTAGTCATAGTCTACCCAGTGTTATGTAACAAAATATATATATATATATATATATATATATATATTTCAAATTAAACCACGATCCGCACACAGTTCCAACTCACGCTGGCCCTGTCCTTTCTACGATGCCTAATATGGCGTAACGTACGGCGTACGGCGTAACGTAGCGAGTTACGTTACGCCGTACGCTTCCCGGTTGATAAACTCAACCTAGAACACTATGGCATAGACAAGGGGGCGTCGTGTACCTGTATGTTCTAGAGGGTTTATTTATTTATTTGTTTGTTAACGTATATTAGGAGAAAAACAACTGAAAAAACAGGCAAAAGCAAAACACTTGTGGGCTTTATTAGTTTATATGAGTTAGGAGTTAGTACATGAGATTATTTATATAGTGCATGAATTTTAACTACTATTATTATTCTATTTGTTTTAATTATTATTATTATTTATATTTTTTTTTAGCGTAATATGGTAAAACTTATAACGATTTTTAAACTAACTCCAAAATCTACGCTATAATAATAATAATAATATTTAATTTTTATATATAGCGCTTATTACAAATGTCTCTAAGCGCTTTACAAATATACTATTACCCCGGTCATTGGATTCAGTGCTTGCTCGCACACACTGTGTGCACAATCTCCACTCCCAGGGGAGCATTCCAGCCAGGCGATACATGACGCTCAAAAACTGTTTGACCAACAAGGACGGTCGCATCCTACCGGGTACCCATTTAACACCTGGGTGGAGAGTAGCAAGTGCAGGTTAATATCTTGCCAAAGGATATTAGTGCCGTGTCGGGATTCGAACCCTCGACCTTCGCATCTCCAGTCAAGCGCCTTAAACCACTCGACCACGACACTTCAAATGACCATCAATAAAAAGAAAACAATAAATAGCATGACAAAAAAAGGTTTGTTTAACAAACCAATTTACAAGTAAAATGTTTTGTTTTACATTGTGATCTATAACTGCAACACCCGCCACTAAATACGTGATAGACAAATTGCCTTTGTAGACAACTTTTGATATGCAAAATAGTTTGGTTTTCATATCTTTATGCTTGACGTTATAATGTTGGAATACGGTGAGCCTAAATGATACACAAAATATGATTCTAATTTGATAGTAGACATAACAATTTTAATGTGAAATATTTTGGGTTTCATATCTTCATGCTCGAAGTCATAATGTTGCCAATATAGGCCCGAATTGGCGTGATTCTACTCAAGATTACAAACGTTGATGATGAAAAAAATAGGATTGTTTTCTCTGTCATATTAAAGCCCCACTGTCCTACTTGTAGCTACTTGCTCCCTCTATATAGAAAACTTCCCCGATCGGTGCCTGTTGGTCCCCCATGATCCTCTTTTTCTTATGTTATTTGAGAGCTGAGATGATGAGATAGCCACCTGTCAGTGACCTCGCTGTGTGGTCTAATTCCTCCTAGTCACACTAGTGTTGATAAGCTTTAACAGAAGATGTCATAACGATGTTGTGTGCTATACCAGGATGATATTCAAAGTAAGGTGTTTTTTTTTAATGTGGAGAAAACAGGGTATTATGACATAGGCGATATTTCGTGCTCTGTACATTTCTACATTATTTAACCAAACTCCTAACTTCAACTTTGGACTGAATCCTAACCTTAACCTAAAACCTAATTGTTACACTAAACCTAACTCTGTAATTTTGACAAGGGTCACCGGTGCAAAAATTATATGTCGGATCTCCGTATAAAATATATTTGTCTTACCAGTTTCTGTCTTTTGTCGCAGATGCATGTATTAACAGATGCGTGAACGGAGGGACATGTGCTCCGTCTGAAAGAGGCTCCATATGCATCTGTCCCGAGGGATTCAGCGGATCTAAATGTGATTCAAGTAGGTCAATAGCTTACTATCCCTTTTATAACTTGTTCATTCTTCATTCCCACAACTGTGTTAGTTTTAAAAAAAATGTGATTCCCTCTGGAGCTTACAACCAACAAGCCATTATTTTACCCTAAGCTCCTTAATATCCTCATTTCCAAAGTCATTTAAAAATTAACTACACGTACAAGCAAACCAAAGTGATGTGAAGTAGTTAATGTCCTGTACAATCTTTAAAATGGTATTAACGTAAAGTGTTAGTCAAAGCATTGAGCATGATGAAGGCACAAAATGTAAAGTTTATTTCTCTCTTCTCTCTTTATTTCTGTTTTTGTGGGGGGGGGGGGGGCTAGAAATGTCTAAGAAACATGTATTCAAAATTCTCAAAGGCCCTGTGCAAAATCTCTTTCTCACTCTGGTAAGAAGCTGTGGGATTCCCCGGAATCCAGAGTGTTTCAGTGCTTAATACCTGTTTTAGGTGTTCCTAAAAGAAGAACAAAATATTGGACATTACACGTAGAAGTTTCTTAGAGCCATGCAAAAGTCTCGGTTTCAACTTCCGTATATTTCTTGGTTATGGGCCGTACGTTGGAAATTATGAATCGAAATTGAAATGGCTTTGATAGGTGGTTGGAAATATTGTTTTCGTTTATTATTAAAGGTCTCTCCCACTCTCTATACTAAACAGGATCGAAATATGCACCTCTGATATTTGTCTGTGATGAGGAAGCTGGAGCTATCTTCGAAAGCAGTGCTGATTCCTTTGATTTCCGCCCGCTACCAATCCCGAATGTACACCGTCCCGTAGCTGTGGCCTATAGCCCGGAGGAGGACCTCATCTTTTGGATTGACGCAGAAAACGGCACTCTTAATCGTGCATTCCGGAACGGTTCTGGTCACATTGAACAAGGGAGGACCATTTCGGGTAAGGATTTTGACGTGGTTTTGACGAATAAAAAGAATTCCGTGATTTTCCTTTCAGGAAGATGTTGCTAAAATATTGTTTGATTATTGCTTATATTGATTAAAGACAACGAATAATTATCTGGTGACAGTATATCTACCATGAAAATCAATCCTGCATATATATATATATGTTATTTTACATTCTTTAAAACTGTACGTTTTCATACTGACGAAGCTACCACGACCTCCCTTCCTGGCCCCTCGGATTATTTATTCATTCATTACTGCATTTTTCTAATGACATGCCCCAAAAGTGTATCCGTCTGTAGCCTTTTCGCGCACTTTCTCAATGTTACGTCAATTGTAATTTCTTTTCATTTTAAAAAATATCCTTCTAGATCTAACAATAATACCCAGTCTAAATTCCTGGCGTACATCGAATCTCAGACCGGTATAACATTTGAAGAAGGCTACAACTCAGCGTTCATTGGAAGTAGCGGCTTTAGTACCACAGGTCATCTGACGTCTGTTTGCCTACATCCGAACACGTATTTATTCTAATAGGCTTTTTAAATCGTGTATATTTAGTCATCAACATCCAAAACGACACGTTGTAGATCTTAATTCTTTATGTGATTTTAGCTCAGTGTTCAACCCAGACACTAAATTCGATGATCAAATTCAGTACACATTTTTATAGAATCCGCTAACATCCAATGACATTAGTGTACACAATGTACATGTTATCAAGTTGCATATGCATATAGGGAATATTTTAATAATTTGCATTATCTCAAAAAGGTCATAGTTTTACAGGGTTTGAAATATATTAATTGATCTCGTATACTTCTTTTTTTGAGTGGCGACTTTGCTTTATAAAGTACAGATTTTAGTTTAGTATACAGTGTTAAAAAACGTGTACCCAACTTTGTAAGCTTCTTATTCAAAAGTTACAACCTATGTGACCTTGAATTAAAATACATGGTATTAATTAGTACTGTGTCTAATGATACCATATTCATAACTGTGCTGCCACAGAAAAGAATTGTCAAAATCCTACAAAGTTTTGACTGAAGCCATGAATGTGGGTCAAAAGTCATTATGTGTGTGTCATCTTATTCTAAAAATAAATGCTCACTCATTTAAATGCATTACAAGTCAGCTGAAAAGAAAACGTGTTATTATCAACCCAAACTCAAGGACATGCTTATTACGAGCAAAATTTATGAAATTTTCTTGGTGATGATGATTAATATCTTAACTTTATTTGCATGTTTAACGTAACCTTTTCACCTCTGGTAACACAAAATTGTTAACGTTTTTTTTTGGGAAGTTATCTTTTTTAATGATAGTCTAGTGTCAATATCTTTGACATTTATCATCACATCTGTTCTTTATTGCAATTGGGTGTAGTAACCGATTTTTCATTCGCTATTCGAGATAAACTCATGATGCTCTTTACGCGTGTGAAATAGCACAGCGGACAAGTGAGCAGAGAAATACCAAGAGACAAGAAGTTAATAGCCTGTTATCCGATGGAAGAAACAAGGTTATGTGAAAGCCTAGATACAATGCATCATGTTAAACAATGAAGCACTGAAGCATGAGGCATAATTTAACTTTTAAAAGGATTTAAGACCAAAGAAGCACATGCATAATGGCCTGACCTACATTCGTTCCATCAGCCCAAACTTGGAACAAGGCGATTTTAACCAAACTTATTAAAGACCCTGCTCAGTCACCCGTGGCAGAAATAGTATGAATAGGGTATCATTGGGCTGAAAACAAATTACTGTTCATCGTGAAATAGATTTCAACGTCATATAGTTTATGACCTTTTAATTAGGAGCTACCAAAGTTTGGTACATTTTTTATACGCACTGTATGTCCTGACTACTAAAAGTGATAATAGTTTAACTGTTTTTCATCGATGTTATTTCATTTGAGGTTCATTTGACTTATGTCTTCCAGAGATCTGTATGCATTGCAGAATGGAACCATTCCTGCAATATGGAGAAAGGAACTCTACAGCACGTCAGAGACGATTGAGAAAGCATCCTTATTGTCTCCATTAAGTATGGCATTTGATCGGCAAGGTGAGCATGATTTGAAATGTAGCGATTGAAGCGTGTCCAAAATTCAAATTCTCCTTAACTCACTAAAACATTCCCTATTTATCACCATGGACAGGATAGATTAATAATCATTGTGGTACACTTTCTGTTATAGTGTTGGATAAAAATTTAAAAAACGTACAGTATAAAGCATGTGTGTGGGTGGATTTGTGTGCGTCGTGCAGGCGCAAGCGTGTGTGTAGGTATTGTAGGTGATTGTGTAGTCTAGTCTGTACAGAAGTTTATCGATGAAATATCTGATTATCTTAGGCTAGCTGGGGACGGACCAGGATCCATCATGTGTCAGTTTAATACTCGCCAAGACAAGAGATCTTTCCCTCTCTGTGCCAGTATTTCCGTTTCCCTCTTTGTCTGTCTTCTTGCTCTCTCCTTTACTTCTCCCATTCTCCTTCATATGATAGAGAAATAATTGTTCATTACCTCTTTTGTTGGCTCTAGGATCCCGTCTTTTCATTTTGGATGACATAAAAGGAACAGTGGAGTCATGTGGCCCGCTAGGTGAAGACCATCATATTCTTCTTTACTACCAGAATACCAAGCCCGTAGATGTAGAATGGTATGGAGGGTCTCCCCTCTGGACGGACGACAGCCCCTACCGAGGCATCGGGTTCGTGGCGAAGAGAGGGGGTCCTTCGACCGGCATTACAAGCTTGAACCAGTTTCAAAAAGCAACAGGAATCCATGTTTACTACGGTGAGTACCAATTACGTAACATCATCATGTGGAGCAGTCGAGGTATAGTGGTTCATTAACTTAACTCTCAATCCAAGGGTTGAGGGTTTAAATCCCAACCAAGCATATGACGTATTTAAAATACAGAGAGAGCAAAAACACACGTTTGAAATTTGAATATGAGAGTGTCAAATTTTGTGTGGTGAAAGTGTTGGTTTTCACAAATAATACAATAAGCAAATTGGAGTTCTGTTAAACTATACTAGGAAAAGAAGCATCAACCTTTGGTAATTAAATTAGTTGAACAGATTTGAAGGCATTTTAAAAATGAAGAGGTTTCCTAGGCCCAACGAAAAGATACAAGTGATTATTTGCTTTAATGAATACATGTAATTGTGACATGACATAGCACTTTGGTCGTCCCATGAATACCTAACACATAAGATGTTTAAGTATTTATGTTCCTACTGTGCGTATCGGGAAGTTCCTGTTGAACGCGGAGAGTTGTAAAAGATCAATCCAATTTACTATGAGCCAGTTCGAAGACACTATTTGCGTATGGGCAGATTAAGGTCATTCAAACAAAACTATGAATACCCATCGACACGAATGTTGGATAAATGTTCATGACAGTTATATAAACACCATTTACCTATGAAACGACTGTATTAAATGCTATATATTCTAGTTGTGACGAGATGTGAAAGTCTTGATATATAAGCCTATTTCGAGACTCAACATGACATACTTTAACAAAAGGGTCGGCATTCAGTTTCGCTTTTTTCTGTTTATCAGTCTTACACCCAGGAATAGGTCAGTAAGTTCGAAATATTCTGTTTAGGAGGGCAAACGAAAGTTTTCATAAAGCACCTCCATCTGTTTGGCTGTAATTATATATCTGAAATACACAAAGTGTGAATTCCTTTTTCTTAAATAAAAGACATCTCGTTATTTGTATATGTGCTTCCAACTTATCTGTCTTTACTATTTCTATTTTTGTTAGTATTATCATAATTATTAGTTTGGTTATTTTCATTACTATTATTATTATTATTATTATCATTACTATTATTATTATTATCATAATCTCAATTTTTGTTTATGTTATTACCCCACCTGCAGGCCAAGTTTACGAAAGGCAGGCAGGAAAAAATTGTCTTGAAGATGAGTTCACATGCAATGATACGGTCTGCATACCAATATCATGGAGATGTGATGGACTGGTAGACTGTGACGACGACCTGGATGAAGCGAGCTGCTATTCTGATGAACCTGGTCAGAATACTAATGATATCAACCTTAAATGTGCTTGGATTTGTGAACAGGATTTATAGAGGGAACTTAGAAGCTATGTTAAATGTTCAACGTGTCAATGCTTTACGATGTATCTTCATTTACTTGACTCTCAATCCAAGGATTGAGGGTTCGAATCTCATCCTGGCACTAACGAACATCCTTTGGCAAGATATTAAATCAAAATTTGTCACTCTCCACCTAGTTGTAAATGGGTATCTGGCAATTGCCGGAGTAATGATAATTACAGGGCTCGTAGGAAGAGCAGTATACATACTATTGCAGCTACCCTCGGTAAAGAGGATCCCATAAATCAGTATCATTATTCTTATTATCATTATTATGACTTTCATTTGCATTTGTATAACTGTTCATCATAATCATGACAGATTCCATCGTCTTCGTAACCGACTTAGACGAAGGTGCAATATTCATGGCAACAACGACTAACCTCACCTTCACCAAACTACCCCTGACTGGTCTACAAACTCCCGTGGCCGTTGATTATGACCCAGTGGATGGCATCGTCTACTGGACGGATAGTTCTAACCGTTCAATAAACTCGGCACGCATTAATGGGACTAACCAGAAAACAGTTATAGATGGGCTCGGAAGTAAGTTGTTCAACATGTTTTGTCACTCATTTTCGATTTGCAATTTCTTCTTTGTTCCTTAGATCTTGCGTACTTGGCCTGGACATTTTTCACGATTAATATGTTTTGTTTTGTTTTGTTTTTTTTTTTGGGGGGGGGGGGGGCGAAACCAATTCGTGGAATTTAAGTTAAGTTACGTCAGTCACTAACCATGCCTCTCAAATATAAAACGAAAACTGCATGGTCATTTTTGTGTGAACAAAATATTTGCGATCGCAATTCTTGATTCAACCCCTATCTCTTTCTCTCTCTCTCTCTCCTAATACATCACGGGAAAAGAATGGCATTTTCTTCGATAAACACAGAATATTCGTTACCACTCTAAAATCCAATCAAACTCGACAAAAAGTTTTTTTTTTAAATTACGCATTTAAAGCACCTCTTCTTGTTAATAAATGGTCATTATCGTGCCTCAATTGTTACCCATTCAGCACCCGATGGGATGTACTTTGATGTTCAAACCAAGACCATATATTGGACTGATGCACTTCACAACACGATAGAAGCAGTGCACCACAATGGCACAGGCAGACACAACATTCTTTCAGACCTCGATAAACCGAGAGCGATAATCATCGTATCAACCAACAGGTTTTATTTTGATATTGCTTCACGTTTTGCGATTGACTGTATGAACAGTAGAGGTGTTGTGGTTTAGTGGGTAGGGTGTCGTACTGTGGATTCCATGGTTCGTGTTCGACTCCCGCCGCGGCACTTATGTCCGGGTGTAGTAAATATGTGCTTGGATGGAAGTTAGTCCTTCAATGCTTTTAGTGCCTTAGGGCAGCTCGGCTAAAACCAGGGTAATATTACTTTACTTTGTAGGAAGGAGCCTTCAATATCCCTTGAGATAGAAATTAATATGAGCACAGTATCTGTTCAGAGCCAGAAGGGCGTTAACTCTTTTCATAGTATGTGAATTAACACCCTTCTGGCTCCAAGCAGAACAACAATAAATCGCATTGTCATAACCTGTGCAGCCTTAGCTTTTGACAAATCTTGATATAAGAACAACCAAATCATAAAGTGTAGGCCATGTTTTAATTTAACATATAAACGAGCGAAATACATTCATTAAGGAGCTTAGTAAAAAATAAAAAAAATAAAAAAAACCTAACTTAACGATGTACCTTTCTTAGCCCTTATTGTCTGATTCGGCGAGCCAGAGTCACGTTGGTCGTTTCATAACTCAAAATTCCTTTCAAGCGAACGTTAATTTGCAACTCTTCTTAGAACAATACTGAATTACGGGGACACGTTAAAATCCCAGCCTTTTTAATTTAAAATAATGTCTGTACATAAATAAATTCAATTTGATTATTTAACTACTTGATAATAAATGAGTCTTATCTGATTTCAGAATGATTTATTGGACGGAATGGGGAGATTCTCCAAAAATAGAATTGTGCGACCTCACGGGCAATAATCGACAGGTTGTTATCAGCACAGGTCTGGGCTGGCCAAACGGTATCACATATGATAGAGAAGGTGAGTTTGAAATGAAGTCCACATTATTTCACCCAATGGGACCAAACCTATGATGGAACTAGTCTAAAACAAACACCATAAGCAATGGAAGCAGGATCCAATCACTTAAATTTGCTAGATTTTCTGATTTAGTGACTCTCCTACAAATTTGTGGTTTCCAGGTGGTAAAAGAAATTTTAAATAATTGTTTCCTTCCCTCATGTACTATCTACCCTGGACCCAGCCCCGCTATATATACACACAAAACCTAAATTAGGCATATTCTAATTGGAAAACCATGCTGGTTTTCAAGCTCGTTTCAAGTTAACTTGTACATGTAAGATTTGGGTACAAGAACAAGGAAAAAGAAATTGTACAAATATTGAAGATGAACTGGAAATGAAACTCTGTCGTCAGCATAAGGAAGGATTCTCTTGACGGTCCAGATGTGATTTCCACGAAATTTAAAAGGTCTGAAACAATGGGCAAATTCAAAACTTTACATATTTAGGTTTGTGGTATTCTTCATTTATGTCTCTTTACATGTTCCTACATTTCCGGTCCTCACTTTAAGAATGTATTATTGTTTGTTAAAGCAGAGCCTCCCGGGCGGTTCGGAATGATATTACCTGCAGTCCGGAGTTTGAGACGCCAAGGCATAGAACTTATAATAAGAACATGCCAGAGGGCGCTGTCGTCCATTTCCTGAATATCATAAATAACAACTGTCGAGTTATACAGTTTCTTAATTATAAAGCTCCAAGAATATTTACAATTACCAGACAGTCTGTGAGCTTTGAAAACTTTTACATACTTCCATTTTACAGTAATTACTTAGCTTTTCAGACATGTTCATCTTAAAAGGTGTTATTTATCAGCGTATTCACATACTGAGAAATTACTAAAATAGCTTATAAGTTTGGACCAACCTTTCATACCACATTCATATTTAGTCCGATATACACATTTCTGTGTGCACTGCATATGATTTTCAACAGGATTGGGTCAACATCTTTTCTTTCCGATTATTCCGAGCCTCGCACTAACTTTCAATTCTCATATTCTCCATTACCAACTTTTTTATGGTCCTTCTTTCCAGCTACTTCCAATGCAGTGGCAGGACCTTGGCCAAGTAACAACATATTAACTTAGCAATCGATTGCTATTATTGAATTATGCCCATGATTTCAAAACAATGGACTGTACGATTGATCAATCTTAAAATCAATCACTAAATATTGTGTAACAGGGCCCGAATCTCATCTTTAACTTGACTTTCTGTCCAGGTTCACGGCTCTATTGGTGCGACGCTAAAGTGGACAAGATCGAATCCTCAAACCTCTATGGCAGTGACCGTAAACTCCTTCTAGATAATTCCCATGGTACGCTCCATCCATTTGATATTATCTTCCACCATGGAACTCTGATGTGGTCCGATTGGAAGTTTGATGGTATAGGGGTAAATGAAGGTTCTCAGCATGCATGGCCAAAGAATTATATTCTACCAGGTGGCTTTTCGCAACCAGGAGGCTTCCATGTATTTGAGGGTAAGAATAGATTCATATCAAATTGTGTTTTATCTATCTTCTGCAGTTTTATACATTTAAAGTACAGTGTGACATTTAAAAACTAAATCGTTCACTGTCAAATAATAAAACTAATGAAAACACATGTTTCACTGAGTATAATATATTGATTATATATGGTTTATGTAGAGGTGTCGTGGTAATGTCTTCAGACTGTCGGTCACATGGTTCGCGGTTCTAGTCTCACCACAAGATATTGATTTATATTTGCCACTCTTTACCTAGGTGATATAAATTAATGTAAATTTGTCGAATGCCAGAGTGCCTTATCAGGGCTGCTCAGCCGATGCCGTAATAATAGTACAGTCTTTAGAAACATCAATATTTAGCAGTATTTGAATGTTACTATTATAAGTATTGTTATAATTCAGATTATTATTTGTAGTAATGAAATTAATGATAATGATATTGATAATAATTATAATGATAAGAAGAAAAATAATAATGTATTAAATTATAAAGTTCATTACGTGAATGATTCAATGTACTTTAATAAACAAAAAATATAACCCTTTGTCACTAGACTTTAAGCTCAAACACAATTGTGCACCATTTACACTCCTTAGTATTCCAAAGGTTTTGTACTGTTTCCATGTATGCAAGTTCTCCTGTTATTTTCAAAACAGCTTTTATACATACAGGAATCAGTTTGCTTGATTGTGCAGAAATTTACGTTTTTCTTTTAAATATTTGGTTTTAGATATCAATGAATGTGAAAGCAACCCCTGCATGAATGGTGGAAGCTGTGAGGAAGAAATCGACATGTTCACGTGTACTTGTGTACCGGGCTACGTAGGACCCACTTGTGCGATAGGTAATTTACCTTAGAAATTTAAATGAATTTTCATCACAAATAAACATATTCACGAAGATTTATTTGAACATAGTATTAAAATTCTAACTGGTATATACTAGTAGCTTACGATTTAAAATAATAGATGCACTGTGATTTAATATTGGCTAAAAAACATGACTTTACTTTTTAATTAACCAAATGTATTATTATTAATAAGTGTAGATGAAAATGTGACGATACGTGTCATATTTGAAGATGGAGAGAGCGGGAGTAAATATAAGAGGGAAGATAATGCAGAACATGCACAATAATTGTCATCTGCCCTCGAAAACTCTTAGCAATAAAGAAAATTACCGTCACGATTGATATAAATTGTATTTTTTCCTTTAAACTCGTACAGCCCCTACTATATTCGAGGAGACATCTTTATCACTTTTTCTGTTTTTCTATCTGTCTCTCCTTTTCCTCCCTTCTTCTCTTTATTTTTTCTCAGTTTGATTTGTTTTTCTCCTTTTCGGTCTATCGTTCTCTCATTTTTCTAAGGCCGCCAAAGGGGGGAGGGCCCCATCTGGATCCGCCACTGCATTATATTTCTTTTTGTGATGAAGAAATGGTGATTGAAATGGTGATTGTTAAAAATTGCCTCAAAAGCTAAACTTTAATCAATCTGATACTGTGCATGTCTCTAGGTCTTTCTTAAGTCTCCTGAATTTTCGTCGTTTGGTGACATAATTGTACCTTGACCTGATCTCGACACCATTTGTATCTTTTGAAGGAAAAATATTTTTCATATAATTCAGTTTAGCTCTTTTAGTTCAATATCATATTACATGGAGAGAGTGAAAGTATGAGAGGGGAGAGAGTGCCGGTAGCAGTAAAAATATTTTAAAAAATAATTAAAAAGACGATATAAAATGGGAATATACTGTTAATAATTCCAGAATTCTTTCTCCAAATTTACTTTCAGAAACCGACGAATGTGTTAGTCGTCCATGTCTCAACGGAGCTTCATGCGATGACTTAATTAACATGTACATTTGCGACTGTTTACCGGGCTACACAGGCACCAATTGTGAGATAGGTAATTTACCTTTGAAATTCAACAGAATTTATATCACAAATATACATATTCTTAAGGAGCAATGGGACAATTTTATTTAAGTTATCTGTGACTATCCGTGAATATTCCACAAAGTACAACATAGATTTCGCCCTATGAGTGATAAATAAGTCGGTTGAAATATATTTTTCTGTTAGATACCAACATTTTCACATTAAATTTTTCTCAAAAATATGAGGTAATCGAAGTTATCGACAAAACAAATGTTAATGTAAACAATTTAAGCATTTTTCGAAACCTTGAGACTAGTTTTCATATAAGAGATATAACGTAGATCTCAAAATATAAATTATACGTGAGAAATTGGTTCGTGCCGATGAAGCGCTTTTTTACAATGAATACGGCACTTCTACTTTTTCTTCAGTACGTGTCGACAGATTTGTTATTCCATGTAGAGACACTGAAACGAGGCACGTGGTCATGGACTAGAACAATCATTCATGAATTTTAGTGTAGGGGATCAAAAGGAATCAATTGATACTGTGTTGATAATGCTATCAGGTAATTGTTTTTAGTCCTTGCGTGCACGAGGGAAATATGAAAACTTGAAGAAGTATGTCCTGCAATAAGTCTTGTTCAATTGCTGGATATTGCTGGTTGACAAAAGATGAGAGCTAGTAACAGCAGGAGGTGTTAGGGTATTCGAAATCGCAGAGAGGCCGCTCTGGATCTGCTTCATGAGAAAAAGTCTTGCAAATTCTAGCCCACAGGCTAGCCCATGTTCCAGGGAGTCCACATCCAGATCCTTCACCATGTCAGTGACACTAGCACGTTTGCTAAAATCATTCTTTACGAATCTGGTAGCACGACGTTAGACCATTTCCAGCTGCTCGGTGTACTTTGCCTCATGAGGATCGTATACATTAGCTGCATATTCTAAATGAGGTCTTACTAGTGCAAGATAAGCAGTGCTCTTGACCGTTCCCGAACAACCTCTAAGATTACGCCTTATTAGCATTCCAAGAACCATGTTAGCCCTCTTGGTGATGTGAGCATACTGGAAATGCCACTTGTATTTGTGGGTTAGGAAGACACCAAGGTACTGGTGATGTTCAACTGGATCTAGGTTTTGTGCATTAAGAGTATAGGTGGATCTTAACTTCTTCCTCTTGTTGGTCATGTTCATGCCAAAATATTTCTAAACATTAAATTTCATCTGCCACTCGTTCCCCATTTTTCAAGTTGATGAATGTCTTTCTGTACATTCTCACAATCACATAAGATTTTAACGACCTTGTTTAAAATACAATCGTCAACAAACAGACGAATGTCAGACTGTAGGTTTTCGGTATTGCTGAAGCTAGAGACACAAGACAGTGTTCCAGGAAATGTTGACAAAAGCCCACAAACAATGCTACAGGATTGTCTTAATTCATGGATGTTCCATTTGCACTAATACATGGTGTTAGTGTTGTAGCTAACAGTAACAAATTACACTGTACTCAAGTTTAATTATTTTCAGAATTTGCATAATTATGTTTAATGAATCCTTCTTTATTCAATAGAAAGTCGCTGTCTGATGACAAAGTTGTAACCTCACGTAATATCGGCCTCATTTTGTATGTTTGGGGGACTTTTTTTTATTCTCATATAATTAAGTTTAGCTTTTTTAGTTTAATTTCACATTAGACGGAGAGAGCAGAAGTAAGTATAAGAGGGGAACGAGTGATGGTAGTGAGAGAGATGAAATAAAATGGGAGTACGCATGATAATTGTCAAATGTTTGGTTGTTAATAATTCCAGAATTCTTCCTCCAAATTTACTTTCAGAAATCGAGGTATGTGCCAGTAGTCCATGTTTAAACCGCGCTACCTGCAATGACTTATTGAACATGTACACTTGCACCTGTGCACCGGGTCATACAGGAACCGTTTGTGAGATTGTTACAGAGCTAGAGCCGATTCAAGTACTATCTTCACCGACAAGTCTTACGATAAACGCTCTTGAACCTGTCGAGATGATGTGTAGCTTTGAGAATGCGATTCGGTTTGAATGGCAGAAGGATAACGTAACGATCCCTGGAACTGAACACCAGCGTGTATACACCATCGCATCAATGACCCCTGCACATATCGGATACTACCGCTGTCAAGGTGAAGGCAGGAATCAGAATGGTGCTAGTACCGTGGTTTTTACTGATCAGGCTACCGTTTACATCACAGGTAGATTTATTTTCTTGTTCCTTAGGTTTGGCGAATACATAATATGATTATAACTCTATTTCACTAATCTTTGTATTATAGAGCTTTTGGATAACAATGTTGTAGAGATTATTTGGACTGTCATTTAAATACATCTTACAGCGTAATTTTGTTTGGAATCATTCATCAAGATTCGACAACAATTTTTTTTCTTTTCCATGATGCACATTAATTGATTATTCGCCATAATACCACGGCTCTTGTTTTGTACTTTAATTATTACAGCATGCACGTTACACCAGTCATGAGTTACCCACCGGAAAATTTTCGAAATTTCTATTATATTGTTTTCTTTCTGCAGAGTTATCTAACATTATAATCGAGAATGGCAGGTTTAATATCAACGTCAATTCGTCCGGGGATTTGTCAGACATAACATCTCAATATTACCAGGATGCTGCGGAAATGGTCACAAATTACGTAAGAATTATTAATTTAAGAAATTGATATATTCTAAATTAGAATCGGTTCAATTATCAGTATTGACAAAAATATTAAATCATGATTCCACTACACAATTGGAAAGCAGACAGTGGTGTTCTATGTTGTAAAGCATGACTCAAATGTTATGCTGGTATACCTCCTCAAATATATTTAATGCTTTTTTTATTCTGCCAATGATCAGAAGGAATGGACCGTATGACAAAACGAGGAATGAATATTATCTTAAACTAGGATTGATTCCTTCACGATGCCTTTGTACCGGCCTATATATTTGTGTACATCCATATCACACTGTTGCAAAAGAAGCATATAACTAACTAGGAACGTTTACTTTGTCATTAAGATACCCTCCTTGTATAAGAATGAATTGGAGAATCCAATTGTCAGCAAATCGTAGGAATCATTATATTTGGACAGTTTTATAGCGCACCATTCCTCCAATTTCTAATGTTAAGGTTTTACTTATTAATCCCCTGATTAAAACCGTCTACATTCAGTATTTCCCTTTTCCTCATCCGCCTTTTCCTTTTCTTCATTCTGTTCTTTTCCTGACTTACTTTTACTTCTATTCTTCTCAATGACTTGTACCATTGCCTTTTCTTTTTTCTTTTCCTCCAGCCGGAAGGTTGGTCAATTGGAGTACATAATCATGTTAGTTGCGACTCACATTTGCCATGCTAAATCGAGTATCAGTCGTTTGTTCAGTGTGATATGTTTGTGTAGTATGTTATGTGTTGTTTAATAGGCGTTTTGTTTTTGTGTGTCGAGAGTTTGTAGATTGCAGCCTAGGCTTCGAGATAGATCTTGAATACATATACAATTAAATAAATAGGTTAATGCAAATTTTAGTTCCTCCTTTCCTGAATTTTGAAACTTATCCTTTACTTAACTTTCTTATGATACATCCTAGGTTCAAACGGGCATAGTGAAGTTAGGCACTTTTGAGGAACATTCTCTGTACGTGGTACCCTCCAACCTTCGCGAGGGAAGCATCATTGCTAACCTGAATATGTACGTCGAAGACAACGAGACGTCTTCTTTCCAGATTAAACAAAGTGTCAAAGACTCCTTCCTCGCCTTGTCGTCCCTGCCAGACGGAATACTTGATGCATCTACCGTCAGGGTCATCAGCACCTGTGAGTTTCAAAAGCATTTGTTAATCCGCCGTTATTGTACTACTCTAGTCATAATAGATTTTGTTAATAAACAAGTATTTTACTTTTTGATTTATTTCGTCAAAGTATAGGGTTGCGGTTAGGGTTGAAATTTGAGTCTTTAGGTTAAGGTTAGGAGTGGGATTAGGTGTAGTGCTAGGTCCAGAGACAAAGTAAGGAACTTGATTATTATATAAAATATTCCGCATAGCAATTGCCGGAGGAGAATCATTTTTTTAACAGCAAAAATGCTATACTATGACCGGTCGCAAATATTCAATGTACTGTTAGGCCCTTTGTCAAAGATTCTAAAGCTCCCCGTTTGTTGCCTTCTTCAAATATCTTTAGAAAATACACAATATACACAGTGACCTTGACCTAGATTTCAACGTTATAGTCTTGTTCTTTTTTAAGTAGCGCGTATAGCGACGTGAACTCCGACGATTCACCCAATGACCAAGACAGTCGTCATCAGTGGTCTGCCTTTGCTAAGGTGTAGACACAGCGGATGTCTGATGTCCATTTAAAAGACATCAAAGATATGTAGCAGCTGTAATGTGGCCATTATTTTACAATAATCTGATAACCAAGGTGTAATAGGTCTTACAAATCGAATGATTATCACTGATTTTAAGAGTACGGAACTTCACTCTTTAAAAGTCATTCCACTCTCCCACCTTTTACATGTATCCTTTGTTTCCACTGCAGCAATTTGTCCCAATTTTACTTGGGTGTCAAGATTCGGTGAGGCTCTCTTTGCGGAGGGAGAGTTGAATTCCCGGTATAATTCAACAGGACGAGATTGTCCCTTCAATACAACTAATGGTAATGATGAAAAGAATGGGTGATGATGATGGTGTTAATAACTGTAAATGCACTTCATATAGCACAATTTTAAAACAAGAATACCTTGTTCCAAACAAACCAAACATTACGTATAGCAATCAGGTAAAACGTAATAATAATATTTAATCACCTGCTTTATGATAAATAGGTTTGATAGCATTTAAAAAAAAAAATTGAAGCATAAAATAGTTCACATCTCACACCTAGAAAGACAAGAATACTGATATTTTCTGAAGTACACTTGTCAAATATATACTGCATATTTTGTGTCAACCTTGAATACCTTGTTCCAAACAAACAAAACATTACGTATAGCAATCAGGTAAAACGTAATAATTATATTTAATCACCTGCTTTATAATAAATAGGTTTGATAGCATTTCTTTTCTTAGTTATAAGAGTGTTTGAAAAGACTCTGTTTTTTATGTGAAAATGTCATTAACTTTCTTTGCAGTATTGTTATTATGGTCACAAGAGTTTGTGTCTTCAAACTCCTCATCATGTTCTTGTTCTATCTTAGCTTCATGCAGTATGTAATTAGTTATTTGGTATGCTGTACAATTTTATTATTTTTACTATTTTCGTTTTCGTCCCTCGATGGTAGCTCACCAGCCTGTTGCTACAGCCCTGTGTGTTGGGGACAGGATTAGCAGAGCCGTATGGGTACCTGAAAATAACTGTGGCGATTTCAGGAATGTAACAGAGCTGTTAAAAGAAATTGATAATGTAAGACCTACATTTTATGCCATTTACTACTCTTAAAACTGGTCGCTCTGTGAGAAAATATTGTACTTTCGATTCCTATGAAATTTCTCGGGTAATTCATATCAGTATCTTTTTCCACAATATTTGTTTTGATGTGGACAGTTCTTCTTTTTATTATATTAATTAAAAGAAAGTTGGCTCAATATCTGTACATTTTTTGTAGAAGGTTTTTGTAGACCTTTAATTTCAAATGATAAATTTTCAACCTCGTTATTGTAGGTATCTTTGAAACTAATTTCAGTCATAGCCCATCCGAAAATATTAACATTGAGTAAGCTTTACATTTTTTTTGTGATGTGTCTTTCACGATTCCTTTATAATTCAATACCACAAATAGTTTCAAGTGCATCCTGTAGCAATATGATTGTAATGACTTTCTAGAAACAAACTCTAGGGCGCAACATCCATAGCTATCATGTTCGGATTACCTAATACGTCACTGTCACATTTCAATAGTTGACAGAGAATGCATTCAAATTCGGCTGATTTTTCGAAAGCCTTTGCGATTGTGTTCATTATACATATTTACAGGTTGAGATCACGCAGGAAACGGTTGAGGACATTACAGATCAAGTTGCAATCATTACAAAAAACACTGGAGAAATCACCGCCTCGGATGTCACTCTAGTTTCAAACATTGCCACAGTAGTAGCAGCTCTAAACAACAGTGGAAGAGAGGTAAGGACTGCCTTACCCTTTGATCGGTAGTTTCTTCAAAGTAATCAGATTTGTCGATTTCCCTGGCGTATATTCTTATTTTATTCACAGATGCCATGGTTAACCGCAAAGCCAAAAGTTTCTTGAATTAGGATCATAGAAGTCTCAATAGTAATATATGATGCCATTGGAATTGATTCTGGAGCTATTAATGACATTTCTGAAGGTTCTACATGTAGGAAGGGATCAAACCCCTTTAGAAAAATGATCGTGGCAAGAGGATTTGGAAGATGTTATCTTGCCTTCAATTTGTTTTCCTTTTTGCCATTTTGTATGCGTGCCCGTCCTCGAATGACGTGGACTAACCTGGAAACATATTTTCTTATATTCATATAATATATATATGTATGTTCCTATGTAGTATACATATATCTATATAAAGAAAGTGACATTTAAAAACACAAGAAATAATAACATATACATAGAAATTGTTATACAAATTTTCGCTCTAAAACTTTGTCATTAATGATCTTATTCAACTTTAAAAATGGTATTGTCATTATGCATCAAAATAGGCGCATCAAACCCCCATAAAATACGCCAAAGTTCAGGTAGAAGGGACGTGAACAATTACATCTTATATGTTTTGATATATATATATATATATATATATATATGAAAACTCTACAAATAAAACATCAAATTAGATCAACATTTCACGATGCTTCTCGTTTTCACTCAAGATCGTGTACGAGCCATATGATACCACGAATGTTTTCCAAAATTTGAACTGTCAGTTGCCCCATTTTTGGCAATTTTCTTTTAGAGACTCATTTATTGTTAAAGGATATGCTTACTCATGCATGTTTGGTATGATTCAGTTGCATTTCATCTTAAAGAGGATTGATTTATATCTTAGTTAATAGATGAAAGATAAGTTTATTTTGAATATTCATTTAGAAATATTAACTGTAAATAGTGCCCACTTCTTTTATATATTTTTTTTTGTTGCTGAATGTATTATCTTACATGAGTCACTCTTGTTTTTTACATTTTAATTTTTGTTTATCAAGTTTACTGCAGTAGTGACGAGCATTGTCAGCAACATTGCCTCGGTTGACATGATCGAGCTCCAGCAGGCAGAAGAAACCACCAATGCGATCTCAAACATTCTCATGGCCTACGAGACGCAGCTCAACAACGTCGATGTTGCAGAAGGAGAACCGTTCGATGTATCAGAGGAAAACATAGCAGTTCAGGTATTAAGTCATTGATCACCAAATCCTGTCATCTGCAAGGCTCATTACAGGATTCACCCGTTTACTGTAGGTAAAGGGTTAAGCAAATGTCTTTCTGTAACAAGATTTTGTACCATTACTTCATTGCAGCTGTAACACGATTGTTTGGAAGAGTGACCGAACACCAAATTGATATATTACAAGAAATTCTCTTCTTCCTACCTATATTAATATCTTTGGATTTCATCAATTCACAGGATTCTGCTTCCAAAAAACATTTAAGGATTTATCATGAAGATAAACATATTTGATTTAAATGTAAACTTAAACAGAACCATAACGTGGAATTTTCTTGAACCGGCATACTGCAGAGCACTACTGCTAAATTAATTATTGTTTTTCCTTTAGAACAGATGGAACCTTTGTTTCAAAAGTAAATATTGGAACAAGGATTCCTGAGAAGAAAAAAAATTATAGACATTTAAACTCGACATGATTTAGAAAAAGTATTTAGTTCGAAAATGAGGCGTGCATACTGCGTTAACATTATATAAACATTCTAAGTGTAGAAAAAAGTCGTAAAACTCTTTTTTTTTTTTTTTGAAGGTTCGGAGTGTACCTGCAGAAGAGCTCAATCAGGGGTTGGTCCTATCCCTCTCCGGAAATAGTTCTACAGACCTTTCTGGTTCCAACATTAACGTCAGAGCAGGAGAGGATACCCCTTCGGAAGGAAGGAGTGTCGGTGTTATAGCTGAGGTAATGTGATCATTAACCTCTATACTAGTCCTTTGTATGTTCGCGAAGGTGGTTATGATGACTTTCAACTGTATTCTGCTTAAAACTGTCAAACGTTTCGATAGTGGCCACTTTCTGTGTTTCTCGTGGATGGCCTCAAGATAAATGATCTTGAAAATGAATCTTTCAATTAGTTTTTGAAACGTTATTGCTCTTTTGAGTGGGGAGGCCCGGCTTATTTAATTTGTGAAACGCGTAAAACGCTTTTCCTAAATGTAAACGTGGAAGGCGGGAATTTTTAAGAGATTAATAATACCTTAATACCTGCATATATTTTCTGCCCCCAACCAACCATTATTTCCTCATTATTGTTTATCTTAAATGATCACCTTTGCTAAAAGTACATGTACATAGATTTAGTGAGAATAGGATTAAAAACAGATTTGTACTTTATCCATATGAAATATATGAAAACAGGTAAGCTTTCCTCCTGAAATCGCTGCCATCACTTTAGGAGCTTTAACGGGCAACGTTAACAACACGAATATCAACATCATCATGAGTGTCTTCTCCACACCTGTTCTGTTTTTCTCACCGTCGCTTCTTAACTTCAGCAGTGAGAACCCAGGTGTCAATCGGACCGCCAACACACCTGTCATTCTATTGAGTGTAGGTGGGGTGGTCGTTGCAGACCTAGACCAATCGATTAACCTGACTTTTACTGCTTTGGTGGTGAGGAACTGTTGATTATTTGAAGAAAAAAAGAAACGTGTGTTTTAGCCGTATATTAAAAATTAAACTACCACTCAGTGTCAAACTTGTCCATTTAGTTGTGCTGGAAGCATTAATTCTGCACCGAAGAATGAAAATTTGAGACCGGAATTTGCGTATGCCCTAAAATGACATTCCTAAATTTAACCACAGACCCATCCGTAATAATAAACCGAACACTGGTCATAAGTAGTGTTTAAAGCATTAGAAGACTATCCATTGACTTGCCCATGATATGATGTAAAATTCAGAATAAAACTCAGTACATGTAAGATTAATACATCAGCTTTCTCTTAAAAGTCTGTGCTTTTTTTTTGACAGTCTGATTACGTGAATCAGATGTGTGTTTTCTGGGACGAGGATGATTCAGAATGGTCCTCAGAGGGATGTCGTCTTGTTTCCTCGAGGTCTGTCCCATCAATGCTGTCTGGTGTTTCAGCCAGAGCTCCTGAAAGCAACAACTCTGAGAACGTTCTAGAAGACTTGGAGACCATGGAGATGTACACATGTGCGTGCGATCACCTAACCAACTTTGCGATTTTAATGGTAATGCATTCAAGAGTATGTTGCCTGTAAGTAGCCTTTAAAGCCAAATTCACTCTCTGCGATCACACTGAAGTCCGATTTATTAGGATTGTATTGGTTATGGACATTAAAACAACTGCAAACTTCCTTTTCGAGGTTTGCACTAGTGGTTGATATCACTTCGAATCGGGACCGATATGTCCTTTCTAATAAGCTTGCAAATAATCTGAAATTGTTGAATTCGTTACTCATAGAACTGAGATTTTTTACAACTTAAAGGTTCGAATATACCTGTCAATTGCTATTGCAAATTCTTTAAAATCAATTTCCCCACCACTTTGACTATTTCCTTCTTCTGCTACATCGTTTCGTTCAGGATATCCACGATGTTACTACCGAGTATACCTACAATATCCTGAGCTACATAGGGTGTGCAATCTCTACTGTATGTCTACTGATCGCACTTGGGACATACCTCTGGAATAAGTAAGTCCCACTTGAAATCTTCTTAGAGAAAATTGTTTGTCCTTTTTGGTTTTTAGTTTGTTCTAGATTAGATAACTACAATTTGTTTTGGGGGTTGGATAGGTATGGGGGAATGGCCCCCATACCTACCCAACCCCCCCCCCCCCAAAAAAAAAGTTTAATTTTGTGTTGGTCTAACTCCAAAGATCAGCACTGTTTGTGATTAGTCTACATAAGAACCTACCCTCACGTGTTGTCACAGGTGCGATATTTTAAGATACTGAGGACATTTATTTTCTTAATTTACGCTAGAAACGGTCTCATTTTGTCCATATTTGCACCTCGATCCAAAAAGGGGCTTTAAAACATAAATTTCATGACCGTTCCTCTCTGACTTATAATTGGCATAGGACCTTCATCATGAAGGCCATGTTTATTAATACGAATTAAAACATAAATATATTTTGCGAAAGTCGGTAGGCTACTCTCTGGCTGAGATTGTAGTTACTCATTTAGCTCATGTCGGAAATTGCACAATTTCTTGGTTCCATATGCGCTTGCTTATTTCAACTTTCTCCTCCACAGAAAGCTGCGGAGTCGCCAGACACACAAGATTTTCATTTGTCTGTGCGCCACCATGCTGGGGCTGTACACCTCGTTCCTCGCCCTGCTTGTCTTGGACACTACGCGAGGAGATACGGTGGTGAACTCAGTAGCGTGCGGGTTTCTGGCCGGTCTCATCCAATTCTTCGTACTTTCCTCCATTGCGTGGATGGGAGTGGAAGGCTTTAATACCTACCTGGTCATCGTACAAATATTCAATACATACATACCAAACTTCATGGTCAAGGCCGGTCTTGCAGCCTGGGGTACGTTCATATGACCATTTGAATGTGATGTAGATAAGTGTAAAGAAAGATCAATATATTTAACCAGACCCCCCCCCCCCCCTCCTCCCCCCCCCCCCCCCCAAGAAAAAAACAAACAAGCAGCATGGAAGACAAATATTCTAGCAAATACAAGAATGTTCAAGGATCTCCCACAGATGTTTCGGCTATTACGTGGTTCGATAGAAGCTGATTTCTTTTTACACATCTAACTTAATGTCTATAAAGTAGATCTCCCTTCTGTATTATTTCAAACACTAAACAATGAACTTACCCATGATTTGTTGTATTTTCTCTACTACTGTAGGTATCCCTGCAATCATCGTTATCCTGACTGGTGGTATTGCAAACACGAACTATGCCAGGGAAGATGTGTAAGTAATGATCTTTACACAGAGCACGATCGCAAAAGCTTTTAAGAAATCAACACAGGGGCAATTTTATTTCTCTTTTACAATCGCCCTTAAAATAAAGTTGAGTTGTGGTCATTATGCAATTGCATTGTGAATGAACAGTGTGGAATCGATCAGAAAAGGTCGTTCGTCTAGCCCAAAAGTATTAGTGTCTACTGCAAGTTTCTGGAATCATCGAAATAATAAAACAAATTGGCCAAGTCTTGGTAAAGTTATATAATGGGACTAAACGAACATGTGACATAAAAATCCGTCCCGATTGGTATGCTGTTACATGCCATATTCAGAAAATTAAGGCATTTGAAGAGCCATGCTTTTCAGGGAACATTTTTAATCCGATGTTTTTCCTTTCTTGCATAATAACAATGATAACGCTTACAAATTATTTTTGAGAACTCTTTTGAGAACTCAACCTTCTTTTTAAGAATTATGCTCGGATTATGAATCAAAGTTACATGTCGGCATATTTTGATAAGATTCAAGTTTTTTCGATCGTGTTACAAAAAATGAAAGGTCTTAAATTCATCTTACACAAATCACTATCTGTTATTTCATTGTATTATTCTTTATTTTCCGTTGATCTATATTGCATTGTATCATATGCTGCCTAAATTTATTTAAATCCTAATACAAGTAATGTAAACGCACACAAACGAATCTTTGAATGTATAACAAATGTATATAACACATAATAATAACCACATCATAAGATTGCTCGACGTGCGTGCAACCTATATGTTATTATTGTTGTTCATTTACCAACTGTACTGTACGTCTCGTCAATGTAGCTGCTTTCTTCGCCTCTGGTCTCAAGTCGGTGGCCTTCTGATACCTGTAGCCGTCGTCCTGATCGCCAACATGGTCATCTTTATTATGGTCATCCGACAGCTATCGAAATCGGCTCAGATAGCCGGGAAAATAAAGAAGGACAAGGATGGGAAGCGCGAAGAGATGATTGAACGCGTCAAGAATGCAGTGGCAATCCTGGTATTGATGGGGCTGACTTGGACTACTGGATATCTTCTACTTATCGAAGCCTTTACTCTGGTAAACCCGTTCTCATTGACTCACATACGCGCGCGCACACACACACACACACACACACACACATATCCAGGCCTGTATATATATACATAATAAGGCAGTTGAAATAAAAAAATCCTTGGGAGTTCACTTCTTTACTATGACCGGTTTCAATCTTTGACTATCTGACAAAATAAGATGAAACTGGTCATAGTGAAGTAGAAAACTACAGTATAAAGGATTTTTATTTCACTAGTTTTGATGTTTACATATATATATGTGTGAGTATGAGTATATTCAGCCATGGAAGAAATTATTAGACCAAGAAAGGTTACCAATAATGTCTGTTTTTCTTTCAAGAATGCGCCAAGAGATAGACCCAATCGCTTATTTGCTTCAATGTGTTATTCTATCAAGGAAACACACACTAAAGTTGTTTTTTTTTTGTAATTTATATGAACAATATAATTCCCCCCCTCCACCCCCGAGAAAGTTCTTGAGCCCATTAAAAAATAAACGTGACTCTTTACAGACTGCAAATATATTCATACAATAAACGTTAAAACGTGGGGGGGGGGGGAATAAAATACACATCCTTCCTGTATCCAATGCTTCCGGCCCCATCATTTTGTTCTGAATTTTGGTTATCGCTTCCTCCGTTAATTACGATAATCGAGGACCTTTTAAAAGAATTGGCACAAACTGTAAATGCTCCAAAGTCAACAGGAATTTGATCCATTGTCTCTTGTCCAGGTTGTCCAGGCCTTATTCATCCTGTTCAACTCCTTCCAAGGTCTCTTCATCTTCATCCTCTACTGTGTGCGGAAGCCTCTAATTCGTCAGCAATGGGGTTTGACCTGCTCCTGGTGCGATGGAGAAAGTACGCAGAGTGGTGGAAGACGGGTCTCATCAGCTTCTGATAGCCTGACTACCATCTCTAAGTTCTTCGGCAACAAACGTAAGAAGAAGTATAGCATTGGCGAGGAGAGTCTTACCGGGGCTTCAAATGGCACAGATTCTTCATTGTCAGCGCCAGTCTCCAATCTCTCATATAATGACCTCGACTTTGGCACTTACATCAAACAATCTGACGAAAGCAAAGTATAATCTCATTGGATGAATAAAAATCTCTGCTAAGCTCCTTTATCTCTAACGAAATTCCTTTAACTATACTTTTGGTTTGTAAAATAGGCCCCAAGTTTCTTGATATGTCTTCTTTTTAATTACTGTTGGCAATTAAAGCACTGTTATCCCTAATGAGATTAGTTAAATAAACTTCAACTTTTAGTCCACAGAAGTGGATGGAAGCGTGCCCACTGAATTTAAAGGTTGGTAGAAGCTTAAAATCCATGTTAAAATTACTCCAACCAATGACAGTTTTCTGTATCACTTCTACTTTGAGTTTGTAATATATTTTATATGGGCCTGTTGGTCCTTTATTTTTAATTATTGTCGGCAATTAAAGCACTGTAGCCCTATTAGCCTGAGAAAATATCTTAAATTATTCTTTATTTTGTAATATACAGGTCTTTTGATGTATCTTTTTTTCCTTTGATGTCAGCATAGTCAGCACTCTTTCAAGACATATTATATAAATGAATGATTGTAAATGTAAAATAAATCAAATAAATAACAATGAAAATTCTTGTCTAAATGTAAAAATAGTAAGTTTTAAAAAAAAGGAAAAAAAGTCGTATAACTTTATAGCACACTGGTGATTCCTCGAGACTTTTCCTATCTAGAAGTAGTTTATGTCTTTAAAATCTACCTTTAAAACTAGTTTACACAGACACACGATCGTACATATTTACCGCTGTCCATACTCAAAGAAATGAATGAGTTACTAGTGTATAACGAATCCTTCGTCAACATCGATATTGAAATATCAATTTGAGCAGAGCTATTTTTTAAAATAATTTGTTGTATTATAAGTATTACGGAATGCTGGTCATTCAATTGTATTTTTGTTGTTACTTTTAAATGGTAAATTTCAATCGTGAACTCGCCTGCAGCTGACTTTGAATGGTCAACAGAGCCTTGTAAAAAAAAAGCGCCATGAGCGTCAGAGCCTGACGGATACAGGTCGGATAACCATATTATATTATTATTATTTCATATTATATGCCCTTGTTTGCCTTATGAAACAACATAGAGTTCAGCCACATGATGTATCATGAACAGGCGTTCTAGGTGCCAATGAAGCTGAATGAGATATAATTTGCTTTCTCACCTTTTAAAATTCTGTTGGAAGAATACCATAGTAGAAATTCGTGCCTCTCTTAAACTTTTAGACCAAAACTTTCATGAAACAGGTGTGTGTAGTCCCATCTTTGTTTGGAGTACATGTAATTTTCAGCATGATTGATTTTCTTTCTTTCCATTGTAATTATTCCAAAACCTGACTGTTTATGTAATTTCTTATTTTTCATTCACCCTTTGCAATTAATTACCCAGCAATCTCTCTCTCTCTCACAATGTAATTACATGACTCGTACCTAATTTCATTAGACAACCTCGGGGTTTAGTACATTTCAGTTATTCATTTGTGTTCAATAAATGTATGAAAGGATGCAATACATATATTAGGAAAAACTTCTTTAAGCTACAACCGGGATTATAATATGATGCTTTGAATTAGGCGCAGTGTATATATCTTAAAGAGTAGCTGAACAAGCTACTTTATAAATATATACATGGACCTATTCATAAGTACACATCCATTGATTATTTGGAAATGTTATTGTATAGTATTGGGGAAGTTGAACTTAAGTGGTTCAAGTCATATCTATCTAATAGGCAACAATGTGTATTCTTGCAAGTTACGAAGAGTAATTTTCTAACTGTGAAATCGTGAATTCCACAAGGATCAATGCTGGGGCCATTAATTCTGGCCTCTATGTGAATGATATTTGTAACCTGCAACTCCATTCTAAGACGAAGATTTCCTTATATGCGGATGACACGGCAGTGTTTCCTCATGGAAAGGATTATAAAGTGTGTGAATGAAATCTCCAAAAAGACTTTTCAAGTATCTTGACATGGCTGAAATACAATGGACTGTTTTTAAACGCAAATAAACCAAAGCAATACTTTTTGGTTCTAAAAGAAAAAGAAAAAAAAAATATATATATATATATTCATTTATGTACTCGACTCAGTCGAAATATGAAATATCAAGGTATAGCACTAGATAAATGTGTAACATGGTCGCTACATGTAAGAGAAGTTGTTAAGAAAGTTTCGGGTACGATTGCCTGCATTAGACGTATACGCCAATATATTCCCGTAAGAATCTGAACACATTACACTATCCTCTTTTTCTACCGCATTTAAAATATTATAAAATAGATATGTACGATTAGTTCTTCGTGCCGAATATTTTACACCCCAAAATGTTTTAATGAGTAAATTGAAATGGCAGTCAGTAGAGGAAAAAATAAAATATCAGAAATGCATCTTGATTTTTAAAATCACAACCATATCTATATCCATGTATAAGTAAAAGACCGGTATTTTATAATACTCGTCATGCTATAAACAGTCTATTATTCATTCCGAAATGTAAACCAAGTTTTAAAATGAAAACCTTAGCGGTTTCAGGGGCTAAATTAAATAATAAATTACCCTGTAATATTAAAAACTGTAAGTCTCTGCAAAGTTTTAAACGGAATGTTCAACATTTTCAGTTTCTCTTGTAAACATCTTTTCACGTTAATTCGACCTTTATTAATTACATTTCATTTAGTTTTCTCAATATGATAGTTGTATTTTTTTCCTTATAATTGTTAATGTGTGTTTTTATATTACCTATGTTTAATAGTTCTTAGTTTTCCTTTCTCTCATCTAAATCAATTTGAGTTGAATTATTGTATATGCCATGTATATCTTACCTTCATATGTATGTTTTGAATTCATGTTTGTATTGTACATGTTTTATGTGAATGCAGGTCTCTCTGGGAGAGCAGGTCCAGAAATAGACTTGAAAGGAGACCGCCCTGTTGAAATAAAACTGTAATAAATAAATAAATAAAATACACAGATTGTCTTGCTTACACACAAAAGGGAAAATTCGTTTTGGTCACCAATGGCAGCTACAAAATCTAGTGATGATCCGAAAATTATAGTTGACGGTCGAAAATATAAGTTCCCTTGTGGGAACTGTGATAAGCCAGTCAAATGTAATCAACACGGCCTTCTGTGTTCTTATTGTAAAAAATGGTTTCACACTAATTGTCAAGCTATCAGTTTTTCAGAGTACCGCAGGTTATATTATGAATGCCCTGATGAGAAGTGGAATTGTTTAACATGTTGTCTGCCATCTTTTTGTGACTCATTATTTAACGACGATTGTTTAGAGAAAGAAAGCCAAAACGAGGATAGACTAAAAGAAAACTATTTTAAGATAACGCGCGTTACACCTGAAAAGCAAGCGATAGCAAGAGTAATTCAGCCAAACCTCAGAGATGAAAACACTTCTCTTTATCAAGAATTTGAAGAAAAGTTTAAAGTTAAAGGTCTTCATTTTTTACACCTTAATGTGAGGTCTATTCTAAACAAGATATCGGAACTTAGAATTCTTTTTAAAAGAAAAAGGCTGTCTATTATTGCTTTCACTGAAACATGGTTAAACAATTCCATAAATGATGAAGAAATTGAAATAGACGGATATAAAATCATACGCCATGATCGATCCTCTGGCTCTGGAGGTGGTGTATGTTTCTATATCAGAAATGATATTGCATTAAATATTATGGATGCTATAAGTACTGGAGATACGGAATCCCTGTGGATAAATTTGCTTATACCAAGATCAAAACCAATTGTTGTTGGTGTTCTGTATCGACCTCCGAAAAACAATTTGTTTATCGAGAAATTGTCCAATATTCTTGATACATTAAAGAAGGATGACGAAATAATTCTTTTAGGAGACATGAATATTTGTCTTCTTCGCAAATCGCCACTGGCTAAAAAATATATTGACTTGTTGAGTCTTCATGGGTTTAGTCAACTCATTAAAGAGGCAACACGCGTTACACCTACATGTTCTTCTCTATTGGATCATGTTGGTTGTACCAAAGAAAATAAAATAAGTCAAAGTGGTGTCATTGATCTAGGTATTAGCGACCATTATTTTACTTTCTGTACACGGAAAAATGTTAGACTGGCTATAGGTCATCACAGGACTAATGATATCAGATCCATGAAAAAATATACAGAAGAGTCTTTCAATCTTCAACTATCTGTTGTTGATTGGTCACGAATAACTGACTGTACAGATGTAAATGAGGCATGGTCAATATTTCAACATGTTTTTATCTCAAATTTGAATATGATAGCGCCACTGAAACGGATAAGAATAAAACAAAGATCAGAAACTTGGGTGACTAAAGATATTCTTTCCCTAATTCAAGAGAGAAATATAGTATACAAAAAATGGAGGAAAAGAGCAAAAGATGAGAAGCTCTATAAAAGATACAGAGTATTAAGAAATATGGTCCAAAGAGAGGTGAAAAAGGCTAAACTCGATTACTTACAAAACAAGATAGAAGAAAATAAACAAGATTCGAAAAAACTTTGGCAGAATCTAAAAAGCTTAGGATTGAAAAATAAGAAGCGAAAAGAACAAGAATCTGTCATTAAAATTGATGGGGAATTATGTCATGATAAGATGGCCATCGCTGATGAATTCAATTCTCATTTCACAAATGTGGCTGCCAAATTAGTAGACAAACTCCCCCCTTCCAAAGACTTTTTCAGCGCAGACAATGATTGTATTCGTGACTTTTACGAAAGAAAAGGTGTACGTGAAAACAGCTTCGAGTTATTACCAATCAGTGAACAATTTGTTTTCAAAGAGTTACGTAAGTTGAATGTATCAAAAAGTACTGGGTTAGACTTGATTCCAGCTAAATTTCTAAAAGATGGTGCGAAGGTTTTATTTAAGCCTCTAAGTTACTTAATGAACCTATCTATCTTGACGAGTACTTTTCCAGAAGATATGAAAATAGCAAAAGTGACTCCACTTTATAAAAAGAAAGATAAAACTGATGTTAGCAACTATAGACCTATTAGTGTTTTAAGCGTAGCATCAAAGATTCTAGAAAAATCGGTCTGTGTTCAAATTGAAAGATACTTCAAAGAAAATGATATAATTTATGAATTTCAATCTGGTTTTCGACATGATTATTCGACTGAAACATGTCTAATTCATTTGACTGATTATTTGAGGAGAGAAACTTCCCAAGGACGCTTTGTTGGTATGGTGCTCCTTGATCTGCAAAAAGCTTTTGATACAGTTAATCATTGCGTCTTATTGAAGAAGTTACAACTAATGGGTTTTGATAAGGCAAGTTTAGATTGGTTCAGATCCTACTTATCTAATCGGCACCAAGTAGTGGCCATTCATGATATTCGTTCCAAACTAATGCCTATAACATGCGGTGTTCCTCAGGGAAGTATTTTAGGCCCAATTCTATTTTCAAGTTATATAAATGATATGTGTATTTGTATAAAAGACTTCAAACTATTATTGTACGCAGATGACAGCGTACTACTCTATTCAAATCCTGATCCTAAATATATTGAGGAAAAGCTCAGTGAACAGCTGTCTACGTGTGTCGATTGGATGACTGATAATAAGCTTTCTTTACCCTTGGGAAAAACAGAAAGCATTTTATTTTGTTCTAAAAGTAGTTCTAAAAAGTCATTTGAATTCAAAGTGACACACAATAATCAAGCAATCAAGAGAAAAGAGTCTGTGAAGTATTTAGGCATTGAGTTGGCTAGCGCAATTTCATTTTCATCTTTAGTAGAATCAGTTGTAAAAAAAGCAAATTCTCGTCTGAAATTTTTGTACAGATATCAAAGTTGTATGGATTTAAAAGCAAGACGTACACTCTGTTTTGCTCTTATTCAATGTTTATTTGACTATGCTAACCCTGCATGGTACAGTAACATAAACAAGTCAGATCAAAAGAAGTTGAAGATTATACAGAACAAAATGGTGAGATTTATCAACTGTTCTGGTCCAAGAACTCATGTTGGCTATAGCGAACTTTCTAAAGCTGGTTTTCTTGAAGTCGACCAAAGATCAAAACAACTCGCATTGCATCACGTGCATAAAATATATCATACTAGGGCGAATCATTATATTCGATCCAACTTCGATCTTGTTACTGACGTACATGATTATAATACAAGAAATAGACGATTCAACTTTAACTTACCAGAAAGAGTAGGTAGTATTGGAAATTCGTTTTATTACAATGCCATAAAACATTGGAATTCCCTTCCCAATGGTGTAAAAGAAATAGGAAACTATGATCATTTTAAGAGGAAATTAAAGGAATACCTAATACTTGACAGTCAGAGAAGAGAAGTGAATGACATGTTATATGATTGAAATTGTTATTCTTCTGTCGGTTCATACTTTTTCATGTTGTATATACTTATGTTTTCGTACGTTATAGAAATTCTACAAATTCATCATTATTTTCCTCTTCTTCCTTCTCCTCTTTTTCTTCTTCTCCTTCTTCTTTTTCTTCTTGTACTTAATATCATTTCTATCATCAGTTTAATGTTGTTATTATTATCTTTAATAAGTAGTTCTTTTAATTTTCTTATCTGTCTGTAAATATTACTATTTTAATTTATTAATTGTATACATGTCTGTAAGGGACCCCACTGGAAATAAGCTCTCGAGCTTTCGTGGGTTATCCTGTTCAAGCTGACTTATTTTTGATCTGTTATTATTGTACATTGTTGTATATTGGAAGCTTGTCGAATAAAAATCAATCAATCTACTTCAGCAGAAATGTTGTATTGTCATTATCAAAATAAAGTCTTTGACCTATTATATGCATATTGTATTCACGTATTCAATGTATGAGAATGATATTTTATCTTTTTCCTGTGCTTCAATCACGATTATGTGATCTACCACGATTGTTCATGTTATACACCGGTTATGAACTCTGTAACCACCACTTGTAAAGACGAGCTATCTATCCGCAACTGAGTTTTTTCGTCTTCCAAAACCGATTATTTAAATATTTTGTCAAATCATTGGGGTAGAGTCTTGGGGAGTGGGTTGAGGCTATTTAATGAATGAGTCGTAAATAATAATTATTTTGTTGATTCTTTTTAGATAACTGACTGTCCGAAACGCTCATCTACTGTATAAAAAGGGAAAGGTTTTCCAAAAGCACAATACGTATCGTTGCCAGTTTCATTTGACCCCCTTTGTCTTCTGTGCTTCATGTTCACACAGATATTCCAAACCTAAGTTACTTAACTTACTTCCTTTCATTTCAAAAGATCACGATGTTTTACGCTGCCATTTATACTTTATGCTCAGTGTTGTTTTGGCATGTTTTGGTTGGTAATGCGCATGTGCGGTCTTCCCGACCTTTGACCCTGAAGTGCTAAAGGTCACGTGCTAAACATCGCTATGTTTCAGCTGCTACCGTTTACATTACCAAACATCACCACATATCACGCGGACATTACAAAAATCACACTCTGGCTTGGAATGTTTCTGGCTTAGCATCTTTGGCAGTTTTGCGTGGCTACCTAGCAAACTTTGCTGAAAGATCGGGGCAAACCGGAGCAAGACCGTGGTCTTGCCCCGGTTTGGCTTCTTTTGGCGTGTTTGGTTGCAAGTGAAAATGGCCCTTAAACGTGTTCATTGCATTTTTGTGAGATTTTTCCTATCGTTTATATTGGTTTAAGTGATCACATTGAGGCTTCATTTTATTCCACCTAATTCGTGTATTGAAATATATCATATGCATATTCATTGTATAAACGTATTGTGATAAGTATATGTCTTTCTTGTGATTGATCGCGATTATTCATGTTATACTTCGGTTATTAACTTTCTAACCACCACTTGTAAAGTCAAGTCATCTATCCGCAACTATGTATTTTCATCTTCCAAAACAGATGAATTTAATATTTTGTCACATCATTGGGATAGAGACTTCAGGAGTGGGTTGAGACTATTTGATGAATGCGTCTAAGATAACTATTGCTTGT